GTCCGCTGGCGGGTGGGAGCAGCTCGGGCGGACTCGCAGGGAGCCCTGGGCACGAGTCCCCCAGCGACAGCTTATCCTGGGGTCTCTGAGGAGGCCGGGGGTGTTAAAGGGTGCGAGTGGCATCTGAGAGCGGGGTGAGTGAGTTATGGGGGAGATGAGGGACTGTGAGGAGTAAAAGCACCTCCAGACCAGGGTGAGTGGAAGAGCAGGGTCACAGACGAGTATCGCTGCAACAGATTTAAGTTCTTCATTCAGCGTTCGCGTTTTTGAGGAGGGAAAGGCGCTGCTGAGATGTGTGCTGATTTAAAGCAAGCTGTATTAAGCGCTGTGCATCGCTGGTTGGGTTCTGTCAGCGTCCCTGTGGCCAGGAGTGGGTGGTTTGTGTTGGTGCTGTTTATCTTCGTCGTGGGCAGTGCAGAAGGATAGTGGGGTTTTTGAGGGATTGTCGCCATATGCTTCCAGATGGCATCTCACTATAGAGACCCTCAGGTGTTGCACAGGCAGAGACAGAAGGTGAAAAGTTTGGGACTGACCAAACCAGCTTTATCGTCCCCTAAAACCTCTTCCTTGTTTAATATTGTTACCCACAGGATAGTAGAAACTAGAGGTTCGTGCTCTAGATTCTAACAAAAGCATGGCTTTTTGTTTCAGGAGGTATGGGATAATTATTAAAGCTGAAAATTAAGTAGGAAAGAATTATTTCAAGAACCACTATTGAAGAAAGAGAAAGAAGTTCAGTGTCTCAGAAAAACAACAGTTGTTCCAAAAGTAGAGGATGGCAGAAGTAAATGAGAGGAACAGAGATGGAGGAGTCTGTAGGTGTTATATAGGAATTAAAAAAGTGTAATTAGTTAATAAATGTTCTGATGACCTGGAAGGGAAGGGCAGATGTATTTTATAGAAGGGAAAGTATTTTTGTTTCTTTGGGTCAAATTTTGCATGTTAGTTAGTGGCTTCTTTTGTTTTGTTTTTGCTTTTTACGCAGGGCAACGTAATCATTTTCCTGTTTTTTGCTTTCTGAGTGTATGCATGTGGCCTTGAATTTTTCCAGGTTTCGCAGTGTTTCTTACTGTTACTGGATCCTTAATGTGGTCAAGTAGGAGCTGGGAGATCAGCCCTCATTTAAATCACTTGTAATCCCTTTACACCAGCGGTGATGCCTATCCTGGATCTGCACTCTGCATAATTTGGCAGTGGTGCTCTCAAATGAGAAACCAAGTGACATAAACCAGGACTAGCAGTGATCCCTAAGGAGCAACCCCGTGGATGGTACTGTAGCGATGTTTGTGGTGTTTTTTCAGGTCCCTTTTGGCTTGTCACAAAGAGCAGCCATGGAGAAGTGGAGCTTAATGACAGTTACGGTGTTACTGGCACTTACTGTGCGCTGGGCTGTGTCACTGGGCTCCTACTCAGGTAATGCACCTTCACCGGCTGAGCTATGGACCTTGGGGTAAATTAAAGGAAACTTTTTATTTGTGGAAAATCATAAATAGGAAACTGTGTTATTTCGAGTGTCATCATATTTTAGTGCCTCCTGATTTCCCTCAGAATTCCTTGTTCTTGTTTTTTGAAGTGTGCAGTGATTAACATCACAGTTGCTTGGAACAAAACACTGAGGGAAAAACACCACAACTTTTTTTTTTTTTGAGGAGTGGTGGTGGTCAGTGATGTTTTAGGCTGAACATGTGGCTGTTCTCCCCTGTGCCTTTATGTGCAGAATATTGCAGTCCAAATGTAGATTTGTTTGCTGTTGTCCTTTAGATTCGATATCAGACAGCTAAATATAAATTATGGTTTTAAAACTCCAGTGGTGCTAATGAAGACGGTGTAAAGGTGACGTGGAGTGAGGGATTACTCTGCCTTGGAGCTGGGCTTCCTTGAGCTTGTTTACAGCCTGAGCTACAGCTGCATCCTGTTAATGGATGAGTTTTTCTCCTCCCCGTGTCAGAACACTTGCAAAGAATTAGCGAGTTTCTTTCCAGGCCTCTCAATGCCATTCCCATGTAGCATAAGCTTGCTCAAAGCTTGCTCTCTGCAAACTGAGGAAAAAAATAAAAAAAGAACCGTTATGTTCAACCTTCATCAGTTCAAAGGATCACAGGCTCAGTTTAATGCAGCTCTGGTTTTCTGTTCAGTCAGTTGGAGCCTCATGCCCTGAGTGGCTGGAGCTCAGGAGTTATTCTGGTGATAAAAACTGGTGACTCCTGGGCTTCATTCAGCTGAAGGAATTTGTTGAACCTGAGTTGCTTGCCCAGTTGTTTGGTTTGAGTTTGCTTTCTGAAAATGCCATTCTGAGAGATCTGTAGGTAACTGGGGCTCTTTCACCCACCTCTAGGCAGAAAACACCGTCTTTTGCCACACAACACTGAATTTCTCTTGCACTGCAAGTATTTACAATTCCACTGCTAACAGGATTTTAAAAACTTGATTTAAATCCATCAAGATTTTGAAAGATTTTCTAAAATAATACCTAAACTACAATAGCAATTTTAAAATTTTTATTTCCTACACAATGATCTTGTAACTCCTTTAGGAATAGGAAAATCTGATAGCAACCCTTTTAAAATAAAATATTGGGGTTTTATTAATTTTTAACCCCGTTTGTCAGTATACTCTGTGCTTGCTGTAGATGGAAGCTGAATATGCATTCTTAAGCTAACTGATCAGTCTGTATTTGGCTTTTTATAATCAAACTTTGGATTAAAATCTTGAATTTCACTAATCCTATGGCAGATTTTTTGTTCCACTAGATTTATAGCTCCAGAACTGACACTGATCAAACTCCTGTTCCCCGGTGACCTCACTTATTTAGGAAACTCTAGGTTGAATGTGTCATATAGCGGAGATAATCTACTCTCTCTACCACCCAGGAATAAATTAGCAGAGATAATATGTCCTTTCCACTTTCTGGGGATAAATAGTAGATATCTGAGCTTGTGGGACTCCCACAAACATAGATCATGGGAAGAAATATAGATGGCTCTCCTATATTTTAAGGAAACTCTTAAATCTCTGTCTGACTTGTGTCAATATTTCTCTGGGAGTACAATCAGTCCAGTCTCTGTTCTCAATAAGCAGGTTAATAGAAGTAAATAAACTCTGTGAAGGTGTTTAACATGCTGCCAGTATCAGTTAACCTTCCAGGGAGGGAATTATTTGAGTGGACACTGAAGTGTTTGCATTGATAAAACTTATTTTTTCCATGAAAAAGGCTGGTTTTTGATTTTAATAGCAAGGTCCCACAGCGTGGCTGGAACACAGGTGAGAACATGGACAGTTATCACGTACTGAGGAAGTGCAGTAGTTCACACAAAATCAGGGAAAGTGCCCCATTTTTCATCTACACTTGGAAATGATTTTTTTTGTCAGATGAGGAAGCAGTTCTTCACTGCACAGTGCCTTGATAAATGCTTATTGCAGAAATATCCAGAAAGCCAAGAGAACTCATAACTTTTTTGTCCTCCCTGTTAGACTGCACAGCAGTCTCTGTTTGCTCTCCAGTGCCATAGGAAAAAGGAGAATAAAATCAGTAATATATTAAAATGCAGTACATAACTGAGGGAAAGCAATCTGTATAAACCAAATAATTCCTGACCACTTTGTCCTATTTTTGTAGGTGCAGGAAAACCACCTATGTATGGAGACTATGAAGCTCAGAGGCACTGGCAAGAAATTACTTACAATTTACCCATCAGGCAGTGGTAGGTGGTGCTGGTGGAGCTCAGTTTACAAAGGGTGAATGTACTGAAATTTTGGTTGTGTTTTACACCTCTTGAGTTCTTTGTTCCCACCCATGTTCCTATTAGATTCTGAGTGACTGGAATGTAGATGTAAGGATAGCGACCTTAATTTGTACAGATCACTTAAAACAGAAGGAAAATTATTCCAAGTATTTTATTTCTTTTTATCTTAATTCTGATATTCCTTAGATCTTGCACGGAACAGTAAAAATTATTTAGTCCATATATATGATACAATACAAACTGGAATATATGGAATTCCAGGTCATCTTCCAGTAGGAACAGTGGTGGTGTTTGTCTGGTGTAGTTTTCCCTCAGCTGGTGGGGAACAGACTGGTATGACAGAATAGGATGTTAATTCAATTGTATTTCTGTAAATATCTGTGAACTCTGCAGGTGGCTCTGTATGGTGACCTCAGATCATCCTGTTGTATCTGTATTGTCGTTTCCAAACCCGGGATAAGGGATATTCCATAATAATGGAGTTGGCAGCTTTGATCCACTCTGCTGATCCACTGAACTATATTTACTTAAAATTAGGAGTTATAGCAGCCATTATTTGCAGGCATTCCCAGGGGCCAGATGAAACTCTTGCAGGCTGAGTTTAGCTGATGGGCTGCCAGGTGGGCATCTTGGTCCTGGTGTATTTGCTCTCTGTTTTTATCATTTATGTAATTTGATATTTATAATGGAAGTTTTTGGGTTTGGATTGGGTCTGCTCTGGGAATTCAACCTCTAATACAGCAAAGTCATATTCAGTTTTGGGCATTGGGAAAAGTACATCTATGCAAGGGATTACATTCGAGAACTTAATTCTTATTTATGTTGTTCTTTAAAGTCTTGACATTATTTATTAAAGGCTGCTTTAAGAACATTCTTATCCTACTGCTAATTAAAACTCTGAAGGCTTTCTTGATTAATATTACTGGATATGCGGGTTGGGTTTTTTATTGAAACTATGAGTTTATGGAAGGTAAAATTAAAAAAATAAACTCCCCGAACTGGAAAGTTCACTGTAAGTTGCAAACCGTTACATTCTGCATAAAGAATCTGCACTGCCTTGGCATGAGCAATCTTGAATTGTAGGATGAGAAGCAGAGATGCAACTCTAAGAAATGTGATTTATCATCAGTTCATAAGACACTTCAGGCAGCTCATAAAGAATTCAAGAAATATCATTTACTATAATAAATGTCAAAAATTGACTGCATTTGAAGAGAGAAACTGGAAAAGCCTGAGCTTGCCCCGTGGCAGCTGGAGCAGAGTAGTCAGTGTTTCACTGGGAGATAGAAAGGGTCTGATGCCTTGTTGTTGTAACTTTGCCTTGGACAAAACCCTCTGTTTCTCTCTCGGAAGAGGTGACAGTTTGAACTGCCAGCCTTCCATAGAAATACTGACACAGTGGGATCACAAATGGGAAAACCCTTTTCCTTTCTTGCATGTAGTCCACCTGAGTTCTGAGGGAGAAGTAGGATTTTCCTTCTCCAGAGAAACGAACTTTAGCAGCTTTTCTAAACCTGCTCTGCAGCCACAAACGCGTGAACTCTGAGTCACTTTTGCTGTTTTGTTGCTTGAGATTTTCTTTGTTTGCAGTAAAATTAAGCATTTACACAAGTTGCTACTTTCTGGTTTGGATTTTGAAAACATTTAGCATTCAGCCTCTTTCTTGGGCCAAAAGCAAGCTGGAAATGTAGATACTTCTTTAATTTTACTTTTTCTAGGTACTTCAACACAAGTGATAACAACCTCCTGTACTGGGGCCTTGATTATCCACCTCTCACAGCCTATCACAGTTTTGTCTGTGCTTACATGTAAGTTCAGGATTTCAAATACTTCTCTGTTACATTCTCCTTTTTGCCAGGTCTGTAAATTTTAGCAGCTTCAGATGTGGCTTGGATATTCAGCTTTCCCCTGTTGGATCAGTGGTGCCCAGGGAAAAAGTGCTGTAGGAATTGGGTGCATTGCCTGGGAAAGCTCTCCTGTGTGGAGAGCCCCTGTGTCATTTGATGAGTGGATATCATGTAAATAGAATTCTGTTATTGGAATACTTTTTCCACAAGGGCTTTACTGCCGTTGGAATGAGACTTATGGAATAAGAATGTAGGTTAAAGAGCACAGGCAGAGTTATGTGGGGCATCTATGTGAACTGTAAATGGTTTATATTTAATACTTGAGTATGAAAGGTATTTACAATTGTTTTTTTAAAAGTCAGTGGAACCAGACTGAAGGTGGTTGCTTTGTTCTAATAAATATTGTATTCCCTTTTTACTGTTTCCAAAGATTAGGTTTTTTTAATTGTGAAGTAGTTTATAGTGTAAGCTGATCTGGGGGATGAGGAAAATCTCTCATTGATCACTATTGCTCTTTGAAATATTTCTTCTCATTCATCTTAACTCTTGGAATATGCTCCTGGGCATGTCATCTTTATTGCTGAGAGGAGTGTAAAGGGAAATGAGAACTGTCTGCATTTTGACGTGTCTGTACTTTGTTTTCCAGTGCCAAGTTCATAAATCCTGACTGGGTTGCCCTGCACAGCTCCCGGGGCTACGAGAGTCAGCCACACAAACTCTTTATGAGGACAACAGGTAGGGAGATCACAGTCCTTGGGATGGCCCTGCACATTTGTCTCACTCATTTAATGTGTTTAATGTGCAGCTTCTCTGGTTTGGCTGCTTTATTCTCAGTTCTTTAACTCAGGTGGTTGTGCAGGTCCATTTATGAACCAAACTCCTGTGTTCTTTCCTCTTCTGCCATCATGATAAACATAAAATACACTAACAATTTTCCAGCCCGATTGATTCATTAAAAACTCTGAAACAGTGCTAGTTTTTGTAGCATAGACTCATTTTTTAATTTTGAAAATAATATTCTTGTTTTCCCTTCTGATAAATTATCTTTTTTATTTTTAGCCGAACTTGGTTTTTTATATTAAAATTAATTTACATGTAAACTGGCATTCACTGACTTAACAGCCAGTTGAGGTCTCAGAGATCTTTATTATGAGCTGGATACTTGATCTCAAAGGGAAAGACATTTGATATTATACTGTTAACAAAAAAGTAAAAATTTATTTTACTACATCTATTCTGAATTTCATTTTCCTGCAGTCACTCTTGTGACTCTCTTGTTATGTTGAACTGCCACTACAAAGAAAATGATGAAAGGAGTACAGAAAAAAATCTGTAGATACCCTTATTTGTTAACTGTATCAGGAAAACAGCAAACAATGTGTCCAATGAACTCTTATACTGTTTCTGTTTTCCTTCATTTTAAACCTGTGTTGCTTTTCCTAACACTCAAGTTCCACAAAATGCTTTCTGATTACAGCAGCAGAATTTGTTGTTCAATAGCTTTTCTGTACTTCACAAACCTCTCAGTCTGGTCTCTGGTAATTGATTGAATTGAAAAAAAATAAAAATCACTAGAACTTAATTACCCTTGAAATGGTCTTTATTAATTTTGAAATCAACTCACTTGACAAACCACTGATGGATCTAGAGAGCTGATAAACACTTTTTAACAGTAACCATTAGAAGAATGCATTAAAATAATTCAGAGTGGTCAATGTCAGCTTTATTTGAAGGATCAGTGTATTTGTTTTGCTAACACTTTGGGTATATTTGTTTAGTTGTGGCTTAAGCTGGCAAAACAATTCATCACTGAGTAACTGAGATATTGAAACATTTTCTTCCAAGGGCCTTGGCTAAAAGGAGGCAAAGTACACCTTCCCTCTTGGAACCACTGCACATTTTAGGAAACTGTTTTTTAAAAATAATCTGAGTTTTTTTTCTCAGGCTCAAAGGGAATTCACCTCCTTGGCAGAATCCCAGGCAGGGGAACCTACTGGTTCTGTTTTCTTTTCAACTCTTACAAATACTTGCTGTGGGTAGGTTATCAAAGCCAAGTCACCAGTTTTAGTCTATTGACCCACATCACTAATTCACACAGAGATTCTTACAATCTGGAGCTTCTTAGTTGTGCCCCCAGAGTATCTGTCTCATCAGAGAACCTGCCTGGATCCAGTCAGAGCCGATTTCTTTGGGGCATTCCCAAATGCCTCCCTGGTTTTGGCATGTGAGGAACTAGAGTGTGCTCCCTGTGTGACTGAGGCTGTGCCAGGAGCCAGGACAGCTGAACACGTGGAAGCAACAGCTTTGGGACATCAGAAATGAGCCTTACACACATTAACAAGATCAAATTCTGTGGACCTGTTTCTTTTTGTCCTTTGAAGTGGAACTGCCCAGTTTATTCCGATGAAGAACTTTCTGATATTTTAGTGCTCACTTGCCTGTATGTTGTCCTTGTCTCCTCCCAGGAGGATTCTAATGTAAAGTTCATCTTTATTTTGCAGTGTTTGTTGCTGATTTGCTGGTTTATATTCCTGCAGTTATTTTATATTGTTCTTCCTTGAAAGAAACATCTGCTAAAAAGAAGGCAAGTACCTGGTGTGTGTGTATGTGTATGTGTAAATTAAACAAAGAAAACACAGAACAGGGTAGAACTGTAACAGAGTTAATTAAAGGCTTTTCAGTTCAAAAGATTAAAAAAGTCATTATTTTATCTTACAGCAATTATTTTAATAACAAGATGGTCTGAAATTTAGTAGCCATGAATTCCTGAATTATATTTCTTTCTGAATTCGTTACTTGAGTAGTAAAAGCAAGATTCTGGTGTGACACAGGGGGATCTGGGAACTGCTTTGTCTTGCACACTCCTCACAGATTCAATACATTTTGGAACAATAAGTCTCCTGTTTTTTGCAATGGCTTAAGGTTTGGGGTGGGTGTGGGTGATTTTGGAGCTGTTTGCAAAGGACAGGCAATATTCAATATCTTCTCATTTATGGAAAATGTTTATCCTTTTTTATTCCTCAGAATGTTCCTGACAGATGATTACTTGTAAAGAATAAGATTCCTACAAATAGGGTGCACCAAGGAGGGGCATATTTTGGTACTGGAGAGGTGTAAGTTCCTCTGTCTAATTTGGGAATAATGATTTGTCCCCTCTCTTTTTTGATCCTTCTTTCCAGGTTTCCAGTGCTCTCTGTATCCTGCTTTATCCAGGCCTCATTCTTATTGACCATGGACACTTCCAGTATCCTTGTTCTGCACTGGGATGAATTTGTGTTTATGGAGTAACACTGTTTTTAGCACTTTTTGTTGGCTGGGCACAGGGTTATTTTTGCATACGAATTCATCTGAGGGGCTTCTGCCACCCCAAAGCAGAGATATCAAAAAAATCTGTAAGTCTGAGACATATTTGAGATAAAAATTACTGATATTGGGACAAATCAATCCAAACATGAATATAATTCTTTCCATGCCTCCAGCTCGTATTTCTGTCAGTAACTTTATTGCAAACAACACCAGAGGTGCTGTGACAGGGAAGAGAACAATGGTCTGTGCTCCTGTGATTTGTGTTTGGAGAGGGAGTCACCTCAGATCTGCTTGGATGGCACAGGAGTGTCAGGAGGAGCTGTGGGAGACGTTCATTTCTGGAAAATGTGCTGTTGTGTCCTGGCTTCACAGTGAAGTGAGGTCAGTCCAGGGCTCACTGGTCCCTGTTGGTGCAGACACCTTCACAGGGTGTGTTTTAATAAGAATTCTGGCTTTGTCCTGGTTTTGTACATGAACAAGCAAATGCTGCCAATTGACCTCATGCTGGGTGGGTGCAGTGGAAGCAGAGATGTCCTGCAGAGCCCCTGGGGGCTGTCCCAGCCCTGCCACTCTAACATGGACAGTGTCACCCCCTGTGCCTGCTCCCAGGAAGTCAAAGATTTGCTTAACCTGAACTGCTGCAAGATCAGGGCCTTTTGGTGGGAGTTTGCTGATGGGAAATCAATGAGCTGTCAAATACACCCGGGCACTGGGAGTGGGAAATGGGAGTGGGCTGAAAGCAACGTGGGCGGTCTGGATGTGTCATCACACATTCCTCCACTGACAGAGGAAACCAAGTATTGTGACATTTCTGACAGCACAAGAAATGCAAGGGACTGTTTACAAGGGCCTGGAGAGACAGGCCAAGGGGAATGGCTTCCCACTGCCAGAGGGCAGGGTTAGATTAGACATCAGGGAGAAATCCTTCCCTGTGAGGGTGGGGAGGCCCTGGCACAGGTTGCCCAGAGCAGCTGTGGCTGCCCCATCCCTGGAAGTGTCCATGGCCAGGTTGGATGGGCTTGGAGCAACCTGTGCTAGTGGAAGGTGTCCCTGCCCATGGCAAGGGGTGGAACAAGATGAGTTTTAAAATAGCTCCCAAACCAAACCATTCTGGGATTCTGTGCCTTATTGGTTTATCTCATTTTTTTAAGAACACCAAGTAAAAGACAAAGCTAATATTTTGTGGCAATTTAATAGTTAGCATGGCTTAGTCTATTCCAAATTTACTGATCTTGTGAACCTGTTCTCAAAGTCATAAGGCAGCAACATTGCTTTTAGTAACTATTATTCATTGTTTGTGCAGGATTAGCAGTTAAGGGAACTGGTCATGGATGAGGGTGCACTGTGAGTGTAATAGAATCACAAGAACCTCAGAAGTCCTTGAACTAAATTATATATAATTTAAACACTGATATATTTGAATATTCTGCACATATCTTTTGGGAGCTGGGAGGAGAAGCTTGGGAAAGCTTTGTCCTTAATTATGTAAATACAAGAAGAAAGTTTGCCCTGATGCATATTGTATAGTGCTGTCACCAAGAGCTTGGTTGACTGAAAATGCTTTATATATGTAATTAACACACACATAGTTTGTCCTCATATTTACCTGTGCAAGCTCTGAATCAAGCCTTGGAAATACAAAAATTACATTTTAAGCAGAAGTAAAATTATTTCCCTCTGTGAACGAAACAGTCACGACTGGCAACGTGTTTTTAAAACTAACTTGGAAAAACTAATTTTCCAAGCTATTTATGCCTGTCCCTCAGGGCATTAATTACTGACTTGCAGAACTGAGATGTGTGTCTTGTCCTTGACATAAAAAACCATATACAACTCAGTGAGCCTCGGCTTTGCCTTGTGGGGTGTCCTTTGTTTGTCCCATGACTGGGACCTCCTGGGCTCGGTGGCCTTTTGCTTGGCCTTAAACTACAAGCAAATGGAGCTGTACCATTCCCTGCCCTTTTTTTGCTATTTACTGGGCAAGTGCTTCAAGAAGGGACTGAAAGGAAAGGGGTAAGTGGCTTTAGACTGTTCTGTCTTTCTCAGGAATACGCCTGGGCAGCCTGGCATGGAGAGTGGGATTCTCCTGATCTGCATGTGGGCATTTCTGAATTCATCTGGAGCAGAAGATACCTGTGTAACGCCTTCCCCTCCTGCAAAATGAATATTTGCTGCTGAGACCTAAGGCAGCAGGTATTTCTGCTGGGTTGCTTTTCCTCAAGTGAGAGCTTTTTTCTTCTCTTGGGCCCAGGTTGGTGCTGTTGACCAAACTGGCAGGGACAGTGGTGCTGTCCTTCGCTGCCTGCTGGCTCCCGTTCGGCACTGACGTGGAACAAATCATGCAAGTACTCAGAAGACTCTTTCCCATTGACAGAGGCTTGTTTGAGGCATGCATGTTTTCTTCTCCCCACCCCACTGCCCCTGCCCTGTATTCTTAGATCCCTTGAGAAACCTTCAGTGTGACCTTTAGGGATTTCATGGGGGAGACACACCACGGGACGGGTAATTCGAGAGGCTTCTTCAGCAGGCAGTCCTTGCCAGTTATTTAATCCAGTGTTTAACCCCAGCTCAGCTGGCATCTTCCAGGATATTATACCAGTAGACAACACTTATCCCATCATCAGACCCCTACTTCAATCCATACATTTTTCCATTGAAACAGATTCCATAGTAATTGACAGTGTCAGAAGATGTAACCTTGAAAGTGAACAGCGTCAGCCTGTCTTTGGTTCTGCTCAGCTCTTTTCAGTGGTATTTTTTAAAAAAAGAATTTAAAACAATCTTGTGGGTACAGCCTAGAACTTCCTTTTTGACCCACCTTGTGCCAGTTTCCACCATATTTTCCAAAAGTTTTAGGCCAGTTCTGCTTTTCCTAAGGCTATGGACAATTGCATGCTGCCAAGTGCTGAGTACCTGCAGCATTAATCCAGTATTTCCCAACTCACAGGGAGTTGTTGCTGCTCTTTTGCTTAATTAGGGCACGAGTCAGTATTGCACTCTTATACAGTAGATTCTTCACCTTCAAGCTTAACCAATAAAATGAAGCTTTGGATTTCAGGTTGTGTTGTCACAGGGATTAAAGCAAATACTTACGTAGTTTAATTCATGTTTATTATTCTTCCAATCTTTCTCAGATGTAGATAATATCACAGCTGGCATTTTTCTCTTCAGAAGTTAACGTTGACGTACCAAAGGCAGTAGTACAGAAGTGTTCTTAGTGTACTCTCTGCTAGTTTATTTAAAACCCCCAACAAACAAACACCAAAGAACCTCTCCAAAAAAGACCCCTCCTCACAACCCCCCCGACATGACCCTTTTCCGTGGGGATTATTTGCAATTTGTGAAGCAATAAAAAGCACACTTTTTATTCAGTACCAAGTTTAAAAATGCAATCTGTGAATGTCAATAACCAATGAGTCCAAAAGAGCTGAAGGATTTTAGTCTAATATTAGCCCAAATATTTCCTGGGCTGCTCAGGGCAGTGACTTGCTGGATGCTAATGCAGATAAAATGAGAAATTGTCCACGTAAGCACTGCCCAGTAACTCAGCCCGGGGGTGTGGGACAGGTTCTTTGGCTTGGCTCCCTCTGCAGCCCAGGAGCACTTGTTGAGGCTGTGGAAGGGTGCTGGCTGTGAAGTGGTGTTTGCTGGTGCTGCCAAACCCCCTGTCCCCTGGGGATCCTGCGCACAGCCCGTGTTGCTGGCGAGCCCGTGAGGGAGGTGGCTCAGTTGGTGGTGCTGGTGCCTCCGTGGTGTTCTGTCCACACAGCTGTGCCTCCAGCAGCTGCTTGGGGATGAGTTTCACGAGCTGTGCTTACAGATTTAATTTGGAAAGTGATCCTAGCACAACTGCTAATGTCTTTAGACTCCTTGATTTATTAGGGGTTAACTCTGTCAGTGCTGGCAGGCACGGAGCACAGCCAGGCAGGAATGAGATGGGCCAGCACCGCATCCTCCTGCAAAGGACTCCCATGTGCCAGTGTTTGTTTGCTCAGGGACACCGTGTCAGAGCCATATTCTCACAGAATGTGTGGTCTCATGAGTTAAGTAGTTGTCCCTTGTGCTGAAGAACAATTTCTCAGTTATTTTAGAGCATGTTTTAGTTGAGTCTCTTGAAACTTCCACTCAGAATAAGCTCAAGTACATCTAAGAATATGATGTACATCTGCAAGTGTTTTTTGCACTCTCAGAGCAGAAAGCCAACGACCCCCACCTCCCAAGCTCTGCTGTTCTCACAAACATAAGTTTAAATCAATGGAATTATCAATAATTACCTTTTTATTTTCTTCCAGGATAAAGTAGCCAATATTTGGTGCAGTCTAAGTGTCCTTATAAAGATAAAGAATGTAGTGTCACCTCAAACCCAGCTCAAACTCAGGTAAGACATAACTTAAGTGCTTTAGGTAGCTTTTTCTCCCAAGTGAGGAGGGTTTTCCCAAGAGCTGTTAGGAACTGAAAAATTCCCTGCTTGTCCATATGGTGATTTAAGCTGCCTGGTTGAAACAGTTAAAATTTGCAAATACAATGCATTACCCCTTTTAGTGCTCTTAGAAGTCAGAGCTCACAGGTCTGTTTCTCAGCTAAGTGAAAAATTCAAGTCTGGGCCTACAGAGTGAAGTATTACTGGATGTAGTTGCTCATGTATTTAAAATTGTTTTTCTTACAAAACTCTCCAGTTTTGCTGTGACATTCCTGAGCCTGCTTCCTGCCTGTATCAAACTCACTGTCCAGCCTTCCCTCAGAGGGTTTAAATTTGCTTTGGTAAGTGTTTGTTTGGAATTGCTCCTTGTTTCCATCCACCCCTCAGCGCTGGTGTGTGACCAGCAGCTCCAACAGCAGTTGCTGCAGAGCACAGAGGGGTGTGTGCCATGAAATGCTGAAGGAATTGGTTAAAAAAGGCTTTATTTGCACATGTGCAGGAGGTCTGACCTGTCTTTTAAACCCAGACTTGTTTATTTAGCCTCAGTTTCTTTATTTAATGCTGTATTTTATCATCTTCCTCTGAAGAGTCTTTAGAAGATTCCATACAATTAAAACCTCATATAGAGTTGGGATTTCTCCTCTTTTTGTTTAGCTACCAAAGTGTTAGTTTTTCTTATTGCATTGGCTGCAAAATTCAATTAAAAAGTCCCCAAATGGACATTGTGAGCTCATTAGTGGTTTGAAAATGAAATGATTCTGTTTTCCCAAATGTTTGCCTTTCCTTAGTCATACCAGTGAATTGAAGCACATTGCCATGACTTTGGCAAAAATCAAAAATCATATGGAGCTGGTTCTAAAGCTTCAAGAGTTACAAAATAATTTCTGTTTTTAATTTATGTGAGCAGCGTTTGAGAGCATATCACAACACTGCCTAGAAATCCCACTTACCCTTTCTAAGATTTAGTTGGTGTTTTGCAGTGGTGTTTTTATTTGGTGGGAGGAAAAACAAACCCGAACCAGTTTACTGACTTTAGTGTATTAACTGTTCATGACGATGAGCAAAGTTTTATGTCAAAAAGGTGGGCAGTTCTTACCATGGCTGAGGTTTTCCAGCGCCTGTGTGGGTGAATATTGTGTTTCCTTGGTGGGGTGCTCTGGGTGAAGCTGAGCGAGAGTGAGGGCTCTGCATGAAGCGCTTTCTGACTAATCCTGGTCAACTTTCAAACCCAGTGTTTTCAGCACGTGTGGGTGGTTCCAGGAGCTGCTCTGGGTGCCTGTAAATGGCACTGAAGGAAATGTAGCAGTTAATTAGAAAACTCAGATCATTGAGCTCCTGCCTCCATGTGGAGTCTGTGCCAGAGACACTAAAGCAGAGCTTTGCATTGCAGTCACACACACTAACCAGCTCTCACCTCCTTCCCTAAGGTTAGTTGTGCCCTGTCATTTTTCCTGTTCTCCTTTCAAGTCCATGAAAAATCCATTCTTCTGGTGGCACTGTAAGTAAATTATTTTCCTGTGGATATATTTTGATTTTCCTTGTGCTCTTATTGCATGCTGCTCTTTAACCTATATTAAATATGTTGAACTTTAAACGCTCTGCACATTTGCTTTTCTGAATAACCTGGAAATGAAGGTGTGAAGTACAGCCAGGCTGGTCTGTCCTGTGTCACTCTGGCTGAGGGGACAGTCACCAGTGCTGCTGTTCCATGTGGATGTCCCACATGGACCTGGAAGGCGTGTTTGATAAGGGAAGATCTGATCCCTGTTTTTTCTCTTTTCACTCTAGCCCAGTTTGCTTAATCATAAATGAAATCCCCTTTATGGCCACGTGGTTTTTACTTGTATCAACTTTCAGGTGAGTTGGAAACTATTAACATGGTTGGAGAGGGAGTTTGGACAAGGGATGGAGGGACAGGACAGGGGAAATGGCTTCCCACCTGGATTAGGTGGGATACTGGGGAGAAATTCTTCCCTGTGAGGGTAGTGAGGCCCTGGCACAGATTGCCCAGAGAAGTGTCCAAGGCCAGGCTGAAGCAGCTTGGGATAGTGGAAGATGTCCCTTCCCGTGGCAGGGGGCTGGAATGAGATGGGCTTGAAGGTCCCTCCCAACCCATTCTATGATTCTCTGAACACCATGTTCTTCCTCAGTTCCTGTAAGGATAAATGTATTTATTGGTTTTCCTCTTCTCTTTGCTTTCTTTGGAACACCCCTGGATCTGTGCCCTCACGCTGGGATGACCGTGCTCCCAGCATGCTGCCTCTCCTGCTGCGGGACGGGCTGCTCCTGCCCTACGCCGTGACCACACCGGCATTCCTGGCCACCTGCCTGGCCTCCTTCTCCATCCTGGACAAGACCTCAGCAGAGGACCTGCAGCTCAAAGCATTCTCCCTTTCCCTGAAGGGATATGTGTCTTGGTTTAAGTCCTTTGCCAGGATTGTCAGGACTCTGGTAAGCGATTTCATTGCTGTAACTCTGAGTTGCAGCTCCTCCCAGCACAGAAGTGTCAGTGGAGGGGGCTGTGACAGAGCACCCAAACAATGCAGTAACAGCTCACCTGTTTGAGGTGTTACATCACCAACACCTAATTCGTCATCCCTTATCTTCCAGTTCCTCCTTTCCCTGTCCCTGATGGGTGTCCTGTCTCTCCTGAGTGCTGCAGTGCCTCCTCCCCAGAGCCTCCCGGATTTGTTTCCCGTGTCCGTGTCCATTGTTTCCTGCTTACACTTCTTATTATTTCTGGTGTATTTTAACATTGTGATACTCTGGGACTCCAAGAATAGCAAAAGCCAGAAGAAAATCAGTTAATCCACCTATGGAGATCCAGGACTGAAGTGTGCAGGACAGAGTGTGTTTGGTGAGTGCTGTCAGTGCTGCAGGGGAACCTGTTTGGGATGGACACAACTGCTGGAACCCAGGGAAAGTCAGGAAACACGTTTGGCTTATTCAAACATGAAACAATCAAAGACTGTTTCAAAGGAGAAGTCTGTTGAAGAGCATTGGAAATATGATTTGGTGTGTTTTCTTCAGAAGTGTCGTACTTTTGTTACCATTTGTAAACCTAAAATGCCAAATAAAGGACCAAATTTTGAATTAATGCTAAAATACCCCGTATTTGCTGTATTAGCAAAAGTAACACGGCGTTTGTTCCTTTCCCAGCGTCAAAAGCATAAGGAAGTCACGCAGGTAAAGTCGAACCACTGGACTGGCAGCTCTGAATTTGTGCTGCTGAATTGTTTTACGACACAAACTTTCCTCCATCGTGACATTTGTGCCTTCACTGTTGGTCAGCAGCTCTGATCCAAGTGGTTCTAACACCTCTGCAGCCTTAGGACTCAACAGCTGTGTCTTCACCAGGACTGAAAAGCCAAAACTTCTTCTTTCTCCTGCACTAAAAGCTGAGGTGCTGCAGTGCAGTTGGAAACCAGGTACGAGGGGAAAAAAACCCCCAAACCCACAACAACCCCCCTCCTTGCACAGCAATTTGCAGACGTAAACTGAACTCAACCCTGCAATTTGTCCCTGGGTGCAGCACAGCCTCCACTGCCAATAATTCAGAGAATGCAAATTGATTGAGTAATTATAAAGATAACAAAGCATGGAGGAAGAAGATAAATCATAAAGCAATTTAGGGTCGTATAGTTTAATTAGAAGTCAGTCTGTACTTTTTCTTATGTATCTGTCTATCTATATATATATTAAAATAAGCCCCCATCCTTGTTGAGAGGCTTCCCCCTGCCCTGGCTGTGCTGTCACATTCCAGCCTGTCACTGCCATTAGTGTCAGTGTGTGAATCAGCTGTTCTGGGAACTTCCAACTGTGTCAGTTATGAGCCCTGTCAATGGAGTGGCTCCCAGCTCAGTGTATTTATGCAGTTTTTCCAGCCTTATTTGTTGTGGAAAAAGTACCCAGAGCCAACACTGTGCTGCTGGCAGCTCCAGCAATGTGGAAACGGTGCTCTGGAGTAGTAACTGAGGATATGGGGGGTGAGCACAGTTCAGCAAATTCCTACAAACCAACAAACTTCAATATTTTCACAAGTATTCAGAATTTTCTGTGGGGGTGACTGTAACTCACAGCACAGCCTTTCTTTTTGGAAGTGTAGGCCGGGTGGCATTGATGTGTATCAGGACACAAAAATAGAATCTTTGTCTCCAGAGTCTGTAAAATCCCAAAACCACCATGTTCCCCCCAGGCAGGGCTGGGGGAAAGCCTTGGAGAAGGTCTCTAAGGTGCCAAGGAAAATGAAGGTGGAGGGAAGCAGAAGCAGTTCAGGGTCTAATGAGCCTGGTCTGTGTGTCCAGCAGGAGCCCAGGTCTGTCCTTCCCCCCATAGCCAAACATTAGTTTTGAGTGTATCCCTTTTCTTTGTCCTTGAGGTGGCCTCGGGGGGTGATAAAGTGAGAGTCACCCGATCCACCTTGTGTGGAACTGGAAATGGTTCTTAACAGCCCCAGCTGTTTCAGAGGCAGGAGCTGGTACAGCAGGAGGTCACAGCCACAGTAACTGCCTAAATAGCTGAGGCATCTGAGGGGGCATGTGCAGCACAGTCTTTGTGTACAGCTTTATTTCCCTAAAACTGACTAAATACCAGATTTAGTAATTGCCACGGTGTAAGTTATGCTGTAACTCATTGCCCATCATCACCTTCACTGCTATTTCCTGTACAAGTTTTATGTGGTTCTCCCAAGACTGCCCAGAACAGCTTGATTTAGACCAGCACAGTCAGTTCCAGGCTCTTCTCAGATCAATAATTATTTAATTTCCAGCCCCAGAGGTTACAGTCAGGTTACATAAACTCTGGCTGGTTCCGTATCTCCCCCCATGCTACAGGGCAATGAGCTGGTGCCCCTTAGACCCAACAACCCACAGCACTGAGAGCCTGACAGGCACTGGTGTGGAAGGGAGAGAAACTGTCCCAGTTTCCTTCTACCACTTACTGTGTTTTTCCCAGTTGGACTGCACAGGTAGTGAGGTGCCAAAACATTTTTATTAACTAAAAACTCCCAAAGCTTGAGCGTGTGGAACACATTCATCATTTTGGTGCTCAGAGTTTTAGTTGTACAAATCAGTTTGAGGAGCAGGACTTTGCAGGAGTAGAAAGGACATTCAACTGGGTGTTTATGATGAACTTAGAAAAGTAAAAATCATTGTACTGTACTTTTCCAACCTAATGCAAGGATTTGTGTTATGGGGAATTCCCTAGGCTGAAGGGATGGAAAAAGAGAAGCAACTGGTTTATATAAAACAACTCTGCTCTTACATCATTAAATACCAAAACTAAACTAAAATGTTGACCTAAAAACCAAATGTTCCCAGAGCCTGTGTGTTAATGCTGGGTTTGAAGCTTTGGAGGAAACCTGGCTGTGGATGACAAACATCCCCAGGTGTGGCAGCACCAGCAGGGAAAGTGTTTGTCAGCAGCTGAAACACGGAATAATTCCTTGCACTGCAAACCTTCCTCTGGCTTTAGAGCCCAACCCGTGCTAGAACAGAACCTGCAGAACCTACAGTTCATTTCCCAGGCAGCCGCAGCTCCCAGCACGGTGGATTATTTCCATTGGGATGATGTGTTGTGCACACTGTTCAGTTTAAATGGATGCCAGGAATGTTATGTGACTGCACCTGCCTGGCCAGCGCCGCTCCCGCACCGGGGCTGGGGGCAGATTGGTTTACACTCAGTTCTTCACTCCTTTTAAGTCCAGTCCAGCAGATGTAGAAGTTTGGGGTGATGTGGAATGCATTTTTCACATAATGCCTGTGGGGACATGATAAAAAATAAATAGCAATTAGACAGCAGCATCATCACTTGGGGGATGTGCCTGGAGTTTCAGGGCTGTGTGATGGCCAGGACAAACCTCGCTGTGGGGGATACACAACACACACAACCCCACGCAATGCAGAGCAGCAGCTGCTCTGCCCTGGACTGCAGGAACATTTTAGGATGCTTTAAGGACATTCTGTAGAAAAAGTGGAGGACTAATTGCTAAAAGATCATTTAGCCACCACAATTGTGTTTTTTTAAGCAATAACAAAGGGCTTTACAGTGCTGGTCACGAAGGGATAAAGAGAACCAGGAAATTGTCATTTTTTGGGCATGAGCTGCACAGCCATATGCAAATACTTATTGACTATGCTCTGTTGTCCATTGACATAAACTCACAGCAGACCTGAGTGCTTTGAGCCAGCTGTGAACTGAAGCCTTGGAGTGCCAGCACAACTCTACTATGAGCTGATAACCCAGTGTAAGACTTAATGTGTTACTGTACCATGGAAAGGCCACTCTGCATCTGCAGCACTCAGGAATGATGCTGAATGGAAAAAAGGAGGATGCTGACTCTGCTCTCCTGGGCTGGGGATGCCATCCCTCAAAGATGCTGCCTTGGGAGCGGGAACTGGCTTAGAAGGAGTAGAAGACTGGCATAAGCAGCCAGGAAGCAGCAAGGGAGTGTTAGATTGTGGCCAAGCAGGATTTAAAAGGCTTTTTGCTACCCGGTTACTTACGGCTGATTACAAGTAAAACTGAACCTTCACTGAGCAGCAAAATGCAGGTGTGTGAGCTCAGCCTGCCCTGTGGCCATACCCAGCTTCCATGTTCCTGGTACAGGAATTACACTTCAGCTTCCCAAAGAGGGGTGTTCTCACACTGCTCAGGAACTGACATCATCTGTGGGTATTCTCATCTTTAGAGACTCCATGAAACCAGTTTTCTCCTGCTCAGATATCACATGATGACAGACAAAGTCAGTCACTACCTGGGCTTTTCCCTCTCAACACAAGGACAAGGAGCCAAAGGAGGAACAAACTGATCCCTTTGGGGTCCTAAGCGGTGCCTGCAGGTCATCCCAGAGCCTTCTGCAAATGCTTTACAACAAGTACCTGTGTCCTGGTCATGGCCCTGGTCACTGTGCCAGTGCCTGGGTGCTGGAGAGGGCAGGGAGCAGCCCCAGGGGCTCCTTGCTTTGTTCCAGGAGCGACTTCAGGAACTCAGTGGTCCCAACAGTCTGGATGTACCCTGAGGAGGGAGAACAAATATAAACATAATGTGTGTTAAACAAGGGGGTCATGGCAGAATCTGTGACAATCCCCCCCCAAACCCAAGCTAAATAAGTTGCTGCAGTGGTTACAACCCAGAAGCCCTTTTCCTTGGAGTCTCAGTTATGGGGTCTCAGCAGTAATTTCAGAGCTTGTCCTTGTGAGAGGATGTGCAAGTGTTACATTACCAAAGCAGAACAGAAGGTGCTCCAAGTGTTAGAAGCTGGAGCTTCCTTTTTGCTATTAATAATAAGAATAAATAAAAATGGATCAGGACCATATTCAGCAGAACCCAATCAAGGACTGCACAAGAGGAACCACCATCCCTGGAGGCCCCTGCACCTGAGCCCCCCAGCTGGGGAGGGCTGGCAGGATGAGGGCAGAGCAGGTGGCTGGGAGAAGGAGAGGAGAAGAGTGCAAGGGCAGAAAGGAACTCAGGGAATGAGAACATGCATGGAAAGGGGCTGGAAGCAGGTGCATCTGAGTGCCAAATGGTCCTGCAGCAGATGAGCAGCTCTGCCCCCAGGACCCTGAGTGTCATGAGGAGTTTGATTCCACCACCACCACGGGTGAGGAGAGAATTCAGAACTGTAATAAACACCCCAGGAAGAACAGGCAGGTGTTTAGAGCAGCTTACAGAGAACAGAAACCCAGCTGGGGAGGGGCACCAAACCCCTGACCCAGACCAAGCCCAGGCTCTGTCCTAAGCCAGGTCTCACATGCCACAAAAAGGCATCCAATCCAACCTGGCCTCAGGTCCTTCTTCCAGCATTATTCCTGACAGCCACCTCCTGTTTACCCAAATCATCAACAAAACCACACCACAATTGCTTCCAACAGGAACCTGTCCAGTGTTGCATGACAAGGAACTGAAAAAATGACAGATTTAATTATGAGCTGGTTTACTTGTCCTAAATGCAATTCCTAACTCAGTCTTTATGGATCTGATTTCCCTTCAATCACTGATTGCAGCATTTGGACTGTGCAGCACGTGGAGAACCCAAACATGCCACAGCCACCATGCTGAACTGTTCTAAAAAATACTGCCCAGATTCACATAAAACATCTTGAACTCAGCTTTTCAAACACAGAACCCCAGAATGGGTTGGGAGGGACATTAAAGCCCACCCAGTCCCACCCCCTGCCATGGGCAGGGACACCTTCCACTATCCCAGCTTGCTCCAAGCCCCATCCAACCTGGCCTTGGACACTTCCAGGGATGGGGCAGCCACAGCCTCTCTGGGCAACCTGTGGCAGGGCCTCATCACCCTACAGAGGAGAATTCCTTCCCAAAATCCATCTACCTCTGCCTCACCTCACAGTGAGCTGTTCTTAAAAACCCCAACAACACAGACAACCCCCCGAGCCCCTTCTCTCTCTCGGTATCTTTCCATGCAGAGCTTCTGAGTTAAACCACATAAACCCAAAGAGAGCACTCACACAACTCCTGGGTGAGGATGGATGAGAGCAGAGGAGCTGGACAAAGGACATGTGGAGGGGACCAGAAGGCACCTGGGCTGCAGTAGAAGAGGTGGCTGGTGCAGGCCCAGCTTGTTCCTCTCCTCAGCTCCAATTTTAGGGTTCCCAGGATAAGGCAGGAGCTGGAATCACCCCAGGGTGATTCCTGCAGGGTTGGCAGAGCCCTCACTGCCCTTGGACGTGGCATCTCCCAGCCCATAGGAGCATTAAAAGGGCTGGATCTTCCCAAGTTTCCTTCCCCTTCCTAGTTCCCCTGCCACTCTTCCCCAAGTTTGACTGCTCTAAAACATTTACAGATCTAAAAAGCAGAGAGAAAAAAAATGTTCACCTGTCGGGTGATATAAAACCAATCTTCTACTAAATGTGCCAGAATAATTTTTCTCCACCTCAACCACAGTTAAAACCTTCAGTCTATTCATTACTGTCTTTTTATAGTATTTTTATTTAATAAAACCTATTAAGACTACCATACAAATCTCTTTACTTATGCTTTTATCTTTTAACTGATCAATTTTTATATTGCTGACATCCCTTCTTCACCATTTGCTCATTTAAAAATTCATAGTATATGAGCTCTGTCTCTGGAGAAAACGTCTATAAAATTTGTTACAGCTGGCAAATGTGTATGAGTCAGTGATAGCACATGACTAAATGCTTCACAGAAAATAAAATTTGTTTCTGTAGTAAGCAGAACTGTTTAAATGTTATTTATTTTTATGTTTCAAAGAAAATATATTGTGAAGTGCTGCATTGATTTAATAGGCAGCAATGTCTGTGTACACGCTGTACCCGGGAAATTTATGAAACCTTTGCACAACTCCTTTAATTGAATTTTCCAAATCTCTCACCACACACAAATAATCAATATCTTCTGCAGAGAAAACCAGTCAGAATTATTACAGTCTTTCTTTTCAATTTTGTTGTCATCAGCACATACAGAGCACCTGGATATTTGTAATGTCTGGATGGCAAGTTATTTACACCTCTTAAACATATAATTGCTACTAAGTGAGTCCAAACTAATGTTTCTTTTCTTTTTTACTTAAAATAATTATATTCATGGGACAAAGCAGTATTTATTGTCGTGGAGGAGTTGCTACATGTAGCTGTTGGAAGAACTACAATTCTTCTGAATTTTTCATTAAGCTTAATACTCTCAACTAGATCCACTAGAATTAAAAATTAATAGCTGTTGTGTCTCTAAAAAGGTAAATAGGAAAATAGAGAGTAAATATGAGCGGGAAATCTGTGAATAAATGGGGCTGCCACCCAAATCTGAAATGCAGGGTGACAGTTCTGGGTGTGCCACACTCATATGTCTCACGTGCATTTCTGGGTCTGCCACAGCAGGTAATGGCTTAATATTTTATCTGCATAGCACAGGGTGTTCCATCACTGCAGCTCTGGAACCTGCTCCTTCCTTCCAGCCCAAAGCTCCTCCTCACACCCAGAGAGACTCCTCAAACCTCGGGCTGGACTCTAAAATATGGCCTCTGATGGAGTGAGCGCACCCAACAGCCCCAAGTCCTGCTGGGAAGGAGCAGTGGAAACCTCACCCCAGCTCCTCTGCCGGGACAACACTCCTTGTCCCAGGAAAAGCGCTGGCACTGCAGATTTTGGGGACTGGGTGAGTGGGTTTTGTTACCTTTCTAGACTGGGAGGGACTTGCTTGGTCCCAGACTAAACCAGATGCTGGAGCTGAGAACCCAGAGACACAGGACACAACACTCCAAGGGTTTCAGCTCCCAGGAATCATCTCCCAGTTGGAATGTGTGCTGAGCCTCTCTCTAATCTCTGCCTACACAGGCTGGCTGGGGCTGGGCTCGCTGAACTCGGTTGAACATCAGGCTTTTAGAGTGTATTTTTTTCAGAAAATGTTACTTTTTAATTCAATTCCTATTTTAGTTTCAGAACCTTTCTGATCAGGCCAAGAGGGCAACGTCTCCTGGCTGGATCTGCAGTCAGGAGAACTGAGGGCACCACCAGGGAGGTGAACTCAGGGCAGACATTTAGATGAGAGCATAACACCCAACCTGGCCCAAGAATTGAGTAACAATGTTTCAAACACGACCTCTGAATCTCCATCTAATGATCTGTTTGAAAACAAATCCTTCAGCATTGTCTTTGTTCCTTTTAGAGCTGCTGTGCATCTGAATCCCAATCTGAACACTGGAAAGAAGCTCAAGTTTCTGAATCAATTTAGTTGTGAACCAACCCGATCACGTAAGTTCCCAAGACTGACTTTTCCCAGCAAAGGGATAATGACATTTCTTCCCTGCAAGTGAGTCCAAAGTTGGGCTGAGAAAAATAAACATGTTTTTTAGCTTAAGGTTTTACAGTGAGAAAAATTCACCTCCCCTTTTCCCCATGAGATCCCAAAGGAGGAAGGATAGGTGGGACAGACCCCACGTATGCATGAAGTGCAACGAATTTGTTTTACTTTATGTGAGAATGATGTAAAAATAAATTGTAAATGGAATTTACCCTCACTGCCTTCAACCCACCAGCAGAGCAGACCCAAGGGGTTCAGTCCTAACTCAAACTGACATGAACTGGGATAAATAGTGGAATATTGCATTTTTACCAGTCGATCCTGGTCCAGTCTCTTGGAAAGCCCCCACTACTGATCCAAGAGTGCACAAGTCAGTCATTTACATTAAAACCAAAATGGAAGCTGGGAATGTTTAGAACTAAACTTGGGGGGTGACTGTATTTCCCCCTGAGCTGGGCAGGATGAACCACCCCATGGAAAGAAGTATTTTGGATTTCACTGTGCCTGGAAACAGTTTTCCCCACCACTGCAAGATTTGATCTGCTCTAACATTGCCCTGTTTCCCACATGGGCAGCACATAGAGTCACAGATAGGATTTATGTCACTGCTTTTGGGAAGCAAAGTATTAGTGTAGCTTGTAACAACCAACCAAAGTAGCTTTCCTGTTTGGAATCATCTCTTCACTCCTGGAATCTCCCAGTTTATTGAACTTTCCTTTCAAATATGCACAGCCCAACCTCCACAGCCGTTCCCAGCACACACAGGGCACGGCTGGGACCGGGACACACCGACTCCATTTCATCTCTTGGCAGTTGTTCTACAATTTGCTTACTTTCTATTCCAAAACATTTTGTTTACTGTAAATTCCAGTCATGGCCAGACAATGCCACTCTTTTTTCCTGCTGGTCACCCAAAATGATAAACTGAGCTCCACACAAGGCTGCCCATTGAGCCAGGAATGTTCTGGATGGAGTTGTTTTAAGAAGAGGTTGTTTATGTAAAGTAAATAAATTTCATGCCTCACCATGTGATGACAATGTGACATTCCCTGGGTACCAACCCACTGAACAGTCATAAGGTCGCAGCCTTGCCATAACTAATTAAAAATAATTCTGAGAAAACCACATCCAAAACTAAAAGGCAAAGGAAAACATCTCCAAATGCTTTCCTTTGATCCCACCCTTCTCTGCCTCTCCTACAACTCCGTTTTCAAGACTGCAAAACTGAATTTATTCTTTGTTAAAACAAAACTGACACTGAAACTACATCAAAATTGGTCAACTTAAACTCAGAATTCTATTTTCCACCCCACTTTCATAAAGTATTTCTCCTCTAACAAGACTGGGGGTGTGTTTGGCGTTAGGGGCTGATTTTCAGAGCAAAGATGGAACTAGAAATGTGTATTAAAGAGCAGAGCACAAAGGAGGCAGTGAGTGTTTAAATCTGCACTGGCCCATGGCAGTCCCATCACTGGGATAACTGGAACAGGAGGACACAGGGAGCTGTAAATCAGAAAGAGCAGATTGCACAAATGAGCCACACTCCTTCCAAAGGGTTGGCACTCCTTCAAATTTGGAGATAATCTGCTGGAGCCCAGGAAGCCCAAGTTTAAGCGATTTGCTTTCCTTTGAGAGGGAATTTAGGCCTGAGCAGATCCAAACAAAAGAAGCAGCAGAGATGCCATCACTGCTTTTAATTCTGATTTTGCTCTATTTACAAAGAGAGTGTGTGAAGAGAACAGAAATATCACAATATCAGTGGGGACTTGCTGATTTTACTGCATGTGAAATAAAACCCCAATCCCTTCCTTCCTGCCAAGGCTCCAAAGTGGCCACCTGGTATTAAATGCTACCAATTTCAAACAGTTTCACAGCACTCGTCTGTGGAGAAACCCAGGAGCTGGGATTTCAGAGTCCTCTGGAGCGTGGAAATCCCCCCCAGTATGTACAGGGGGAAAAAGGTTGGGCTGCAAGACTGTTTGTTGCTGAAAAGGCAGCAGGAGGGAGGAGGATGGGGAAGAACAAGGATAACTGGGATACATAAAAGGTGTATAAAGACTCCAGGACTGACTGCACTTGTTTCTGGACCACTGAGGGTTTCTTCTCCTTCCACAGTTTGATGGAGAAACACCCAATACAATGAAAACAGCAGAAAACATTGAATTTGTGTAGCTGAAATTTTCAGAGGAAACACATTTGATTCTCATAATTCTCATAACTCCATGTTACCCAACCTTTTGCAAGTGGAAAGAGCTAAGCAGGAATCAACCAAAAGGAATCCAAACACGTGTGGCACAGGAGTTATAGGGAGTTTCTCACCTGGGGCAGGGAGTTTTCCATGGTTTGCTTTCAACAGCTGCAGCTCTTCTGCTTGACTCACTAGTGAAGAAATAAATCCGAAATCAGAGATTTCAAAGGAAATGATCCCTCTGCTGCCTTTTTCACTTTCAATGCATTTCAAGGAAAAGAGCCCTTACCTATGTAACTGTGCTTTAAAATATTAACAAAAAGTTTTCAAAATTCAGATAATTTTGACAAGTTGTGCTTTCAGCCTCCTACCACATTGTGTTCCCGTTCTTTCCTGACATGGTGCTTTGTTCCTAATTCAGAGATGGGGGAAAAGAGGATTCCTGCCCAAGGAGCTGACAGAAAGAGTGAACATGACAGGGAATGTCAGCAGTAGGTCTGAGCTGTCCTCTGGGCTGTTGGACTGTCCTATCCAGAGCAGGGAATGGCAACACACACTATTTCCAGGAACTTCCTGCTGTATAAGAAAGGCTCTGGCATTACAGTGGGAGCAGTGCAGCGTATACACATGCAAAAGGAAAAGGTTTGGAATACAAGTCAGGAAAGAAATGGTAATTTAAACAACAGCACTGCTGGAATTGTGTGCATTAATTCCAATGCTCTGGGAAGAAAAATTCTCTAGCACCTGTGGCTTTGCTGTCCACCTGCTTCCAACTGCAAACTTAGCAGTTCCAGGTTTTGGCTCCCTATAGCTGGTTCCAGTGTTTTTACACCTGGCAGAGAACAGAGCAGGTCATCGAGTGATATCTATTGGCAAAATCCCACCTTTGCTGCAGGTTAAGAAACTATTTATCAGCTTTGCATGTTTGCCTGGAGAGTGGACACAGGGACTGGCTGTATCCAGGAACTGCTCAGACTCCCTGCTCAGCTGGAAGCTGTATGAGCTTGGCATGGGAGGTCTCCAAGAACAGTGTAAATGACCTGGAAAAGGAGACCCTGATTCCTTATCCCTGAAAGCCAGTATCTCTGTTTTTTTCCTGTAAATATCCATGTGTTCGTTTGTTTGTTTTGGTTTTTTTGTTTGTTTTGTTTTGTTTTTTCATTAGACTATTTCCCCTTCTGGTTGGGAAGAGCAGGAGGAATGAACTTCAGAACCTCTGACTTGGAGGAAGGATAAAGAGTTTCCTTAAAAGGAACACACGTAAGTGAAAAGCTTCAGCTTTCCGGGTTCCATTGGCAAAGTATTCCTGATGTGCCATCTGAAAAGTGCCCTTATCCCAACACAGTAAGCACCTGGAATGTCCATCATTTAAAGACACATGAATAGCGATTTTTAAAGCCTGGAAATTTATATTCAGCCTAATCCTCCTGGCAGGCAAACAAACAAACCAACTTCCTCGGAAGGAGAGAAGAAAGGCAAAGCAATCCAAGTGCAAACGTTTATCCTAATTCCCAGCTAAGCACCCACTAAGTATCTCACTATTTACATGATAAAAGGTGTTGCTCTTCCAAGTTTTCCCTCCCCATTGTGCTGGAAGAGCAGGACATGGCAATGCCTGGCTTTTATGTCCCTGTTGGATGCACGGGGACATTTAAAGTGCGTTTTCCTTGACCAAAACAGAGTCCTGGGCTGTGACAGTCCAGGAACCCTCCGGAGTGGTCCTTGTTCAATGGATAAAAGGCCATCAATAGATTGCAAACCCTCCTTACGCAGTGTTTGGGTTTTCTGCACTTCAGCACTCAGGGGACGAGAGGAGTCTGAGACACCGAGGATGTTTTCCAGCTCTCTGCTGCCCTCCAAAGCCTGGAAAACAACAATTAAAGACACCGCTAAATCCCATTCCCAAACTATCTACTAATTGCCTGCAACTTAGCAGAAACACCCAAAAGAAGGAACTTTTGGAAATCACTCATAAATAAACACTTCAATTAAAATAGAAAATAAATGAAACAAAATGGGAATAAAATAGAGGAGTGATTTGCATTTTAACATGTATTAAACAAACTATTAAATGATGACAGATAAGAGGTAAATTAAACAGTACAATCACTTCATCACAAAGGGATGTTTCATCTTTAAGGACACAAAAATCTAAGTAATAATACATATTTCAAGTTACAAATAACAGTTGAGAATGACATATGTTCTTATTTGTGAACAAAATGAGGAGTGATACAAAATAAAAATGGTGGACTTGGAAAAGCAACTTCTAGTTTAAGAAATTTTTTAAATTAAATTAAGAAATTATTCTAAGTTCTGAGGTTTTTTGCATTTTCTGGATTTCCAAATCAAACCTGCCTGGCTTCAAGTCTTTTATTTGCTTCCCTAAAATTTAAATGCTGCATATAACATTTTAATTTTGATTTCAAATCCTGTACTAAAAGCAGATAAAAAAAAAAATCAGTGTAAAGCAGACCTGGAGGCTTGTGAGATTTGCTCTTATTTTCAGAATTTTGGCCAATGAACTTCTCACTTGGGACTGCAGCTTCAGGAACCTGCATGCAGAAAAGGTAAAACAATTCCAATTACTCTCATCAGCACTCACTGAAATTCCATGTTTGCAATGTTTCCCAGAGCTTCTTCCCAGCATAATCAGGATGGATCCAGCTCAGTGTCCTGCAGCACCAAAACCAACCTGCCTTTGGTTGGGATTCACATCCCAACTGCCAAAAATCCTTATTTCCTAATTTTAAGGATAGGAACTCGGGTTCAGCAGTATCAGAGGATTTTCTTCAGGATTTGCACATTAAAAAAATTCCTGCCATGACAGTTTTAAGGTATTTTCTCTTTGAACCATTTAAAGATGCAAATCAAATAATCTATTTACTGTTTCCTTTCCCAGAAGGGAGGGAGAATTATCCTTATAAAAACCCTCAAATTTAGGAACAGAGCTACAGTGTGGAAATGTAGGAAACTACATTTCAAACCCCATCACTCAGAAAACACCGTCCTACAAGGAAGGAATTTCAAGCTCAGGGTGGGGGAAATATCCATTCCCAGGAAAAAGCCCAACAGACAAATGGAGAGTTCAAAAGGAGGAGCTACAACCTCAAAGCTGACATTTAGTTGAACAATAATGCCTGAGTAGGAAAACAGCCCATCAGACACCTCACCTGAGACATTTACTGAAGTGCTTTACTAACTGAGCATTGCCCAAAGTTCATCAATGTCAGGAAATTTACACCTTAAAATAAGATTGCGGCAGAAAAGACCAGAATTGTAAAAGCTTTTGCATTAATTTACACCTACAGCCATTCAGTGCCGTCGAATATCCCATCCTGTGCAATCAGAAGCATTAAAAATAATGGCTATTAACTGAGTTCCATGTGAAATAGTAAATAGAAATCACTGCCCCCACAACAAAGTGAACACAAGGGATGCACTCACCCATCCTGCTCTGTTAGAGGCTGCCCTCTCCTGGATAATCCGCAGTCGGAATTGCTCTGCTCTCTTCCTTCTCCTCGGAGTTCACAAGGCAGAAAAGAAACAATAAAGATAAAAATGAGGTATTTTCTATTTGAAGCACGTGAAGGTGTTACTGTGAACCTTGATTTTAGAATGATCTTTTAGGAAGAGAAAAATACCCCAAACTCACTTGGAAAGCAGGACAGATCCCCTGAATGAGCCACCCTGAATTCACTGCAATTTACACTTTTGTAATTTGAGCTCTCATCAACTCACTTTACATTCATATTCCTGGAAACCTTGGGATTAGAATATTAATAACTGGAAGTTGGGATAATTCTGGCAATCCCAGATCCCACCCTGTGGAATGAGGTGCTTTTCACATCTCTCTGTAATAAATCTCCTTCCTGATATCAGACTGAAAAAGGGAGGCCACACTAAACATTAAACACTTCGATTTCTTATTAAATCTAAATTATTACACACAAATATCAGCACTCGAGGATGAGTTAACTTTTAATTTTAATATTTTGTAAAACATTTAGAAATATCTCAGAAGGACAAAGTGCTGTACAAGTTTAAGCAGCTGAAGGTTAAGACCCTCAAAGATTTAATTTTAAATCTGAGTAGTCAATAGAACTTGAACTTAATTTTGTAATCATTTTTGTTCTGTTGTTTTCTTACACAATGGTCACAGAAAAACAGAGTATTGATTATATGTAACACCTCAAAGGTGATATCCAGAATCTATTAAAGCACCACAGCTCTTAAAACAAAAGTGTTTTTTTAGAAGGAAAACAGAAACTGTGGGTTTAAAAGGACACCCTGAAACCTGTGATTTAATAATTAAATAACACCATTTTGTAGCTATGTGAACACAGGAAAAAGAGAGCTGGTTAGTGCTACATTACTGAGTAATTATCCATCTAAATGTCAGCTCTGCTCATGTGACCAGGCTTTTTATAGGCAAAAGGAATGTTCCCCTATGTCCATCCTTAATACCAGCATGGAAATACACGTTCACCTTTCCCACTGACATCCTAATATACATTTTAATTCACGACATTTTTTCCCCTTTCTATTTTCACCTGAGAGATAAGGCATGTAATTCAAGTGCAGAGAGGCTGGGCAAGTTTTAAAAGTTGTAGTAATTTAAACATTTGTGTGTTGTCATGAAAATGAAGAGTTCATTAAAGCAGGTAATTACCAACGTAGGGATATTCAAGAGAACATATCAAAAGAGCTACAGATTTTTAATTTTAACTGCTGTCATTATATACAATTTTAAAAGCTTTTGCAAAGGTGAGGAGAACAACTACTGGCAACTCTTCTCGTGGAAAGGTTTCTTTGTACAGGCTGAAGAGATCCATATTTACCACCAATTACCACCAAATCCTGATACGGAAGTTACAGCATTCAAACCCCAAAATTCCTTTCTGCTGATGAAAGCAGAGACTGACAGAGAAATCTCTGTCAGAGAAATCAGATTACTCCCTTGATCCCAGACACAATCCAGGCCTGGCACCGCAAATCCCAACACAGTTCCTAAAAGGCCACAAAATAAAACACTGATATATCAGCTGATATATCTGCAGTTTTGTGGAAGTTAAGACTGTTCTAAAATACAGGTCCTTTCAATAAATGAGGTGCCCACAAGTGGTTGAGACACACAATCACTCCTTCCCTGTGGTTCCCTGACACTTGAGGAGATCACCCCCACAACCTACAGAGACATAAAGGCAGGTCAGGCACTGAGAATCCACTCCCTGAGCACTCGGAGTTTGCACCAAAAACTGTGACTGAGTAACTGAGTGCATGTAAATCCTACACGGAACTGCCAATAATATAGCTATAAAAAAAATTAGGTATTTTCTGAGAGTTAATGACACTCAGTGTTATGTTCATTAAAAATTGCATTGAAGTGCCTGACCATGAAAAATAATTGTCAAAAAATACACAAAATAAAAAAGGACTTTGCTAACACGCCAAACCAGGGGAATTAATGGAATTGTTGACAAAAAATGCCAGTGTGGAAGTTTTTTTTACTGAGTCAAAGCCAAACATTTCTAATACTGAGCTACAGAAAGAAAAACTTGTCTCATAAACAAGTCGTTTCTTAAACACCCCCAAGATTTAGGCCAAAAAGATTCAAGCTTTAAAAGGCAACATCAGCTCTTCTAAAAGAGGTGAAAAATTTTGTAGTTGAAAAAGGAAACAAACATAGCACATGAGAGACAAGTTACTAAATCAAGCCAATAACCAGGAAAATGCTGTATTAAGAAAGAGGGAATGTTCAACTAACCTTTAGCTGGGGCATTCCCGGGATTTTGTTCCTTGTGGCTGACAGGGGATGAAAAGGGACTCATCTGGCGTGTTCCTGTCATTGGGGAGTAAGAATTCAGATTCTTCTTTTTGACCTTCTGAGGTGTTGCATCAGATGGCTGAAAGGCAGCAAAACACACACAAAAAATCCCAGTTAATACTGATAAAATCTCTGAACATTTACCATCTGGCAAGGGGTTCTCCTCAGTAATTCATAACTTTAGGTACTCCCTTACATCGGAAGCCCATGTTGTATGTTGTGGTGGGTTGACCTTGTGCCCACCAAGCTGCTCTATCACTCCTCGTTAATATTAGTTTTACTCTGAAAAACTAAAAGCTCTTTTTTCCATAAAGAAAGTCTGTGTTTTCCAGAGATTTAATGGCCAGTCTCTTCGCGAACGAAGAACCGGGGAAGGTCTTTCCACCTTCCAGCCTGCGCATTGGATTTTTTTTTTTTAGGTGAGACACAGTGTGCGCGGAACTGAGCCCACCCTTTAATCCTGAGGTTCATCTGCCGGTGGCAGCGAGGTCCTCAGGACGTAGATGGATTGCCTTACGGGCTAACGAGCTCCATCTGCCCGGGGAGGGGCCCCGACCGGGAATCGAACCCGGGTCTCTGCAGTGACAGTGCAGTGAATTTTCCCCTGGACCACCGGGGGCTCCCTCCAGAGATTTAGGTATCACCTGGTTGGCTAGTTTGGGTTTTTTTAAAGCAGCCTAAACCTCACATTATTTTTCCTACAGTGTTGAGAATTTAAGACGCATAAGAACTATAAGCAACTATTTTTAGATTTTGATTGTATCAAAAGATAGTTATTCCTAATGATTTTCTACATGAATGTTCATTTAAAAAATCCAAAGTAAGTTCCTTAAACCCCGAATTTTGTGTCTGGCTTAGGATTTCAATGTGTCTAATGGCAGTGCTGGTATTGACCATTAGTAATATGACTCACACCATATTTTAAAATGTTTAATTTGCTGCCCACTTACCTCTGTTCTTGTTTTAGTCCCAAATACCCTAAATAATTTCCCATCAGAAATTTACACTCCTCTCTTCTAGAACTGACACAACACCCGATGGAAATCCTCAGTTGCCACTGTTTTGCAACATTCAAGCAGGTTAAAGAAATGTTTCCAATGATCTTTAAATGAAATATTACATGTCAACAAATCTCCAGTCTGCTCAGAGTTTCAGGATATTTTCCCTGCTTGAACAGCAGCCACCTCTGGATATGGATAAGCATATCCAATATCTGAGCAACTACCTGGAGAAAGTTACTGTTGTTCTTACAGGGACAGCATTTATTTGGCAGTAAGGATTTCTCTCCAGGAAGAAGAGTTTTAGTCCAGTTATGCAATTTTTTTAATGATGTCATGCAAACATTCCAAAATCTAAAAATACTCATTTCTGATCTTTAGTTCATAGGTATTTTGGCCAGGAGGTGGAACGAGGGACTCCTGAAAAATAGGGAATAGGCTGTAGAAACAGCAAAGATGAAACAGGTACTTCAGTCAAATAAAGTGTGTTTACTACCTTATGCTCCTTCCTACTTTCTATAAAGTTATTTAATCCTGGCACACTTTAAATCTCTGATGTGTCATTAGAGGCACTGTATGAACTAAAAATCCATGTAAAGCCACATCACTGAGCTCCCACTGAAAGTTTTGATCACTCAGGGGGGCTTTTGTTAAGCGTTTTGCTTCACAAGAAGCTGAATGCAGGAAACCATCAAATAACTCCTTTTAGCTCATCTGCTTTGAGGCAGAGAAAGAATTCCATGGAATTTCAGCTGGACCACTCACCTACCAAAATGTAACCCCAGCCCAGGAAACAGATGCAAAATGACAGTCACAGCTGCACTGTGAGCAGAACAAGTTGGGTAATGGTACACTAAGCTGCTAATTAAATTGCTAATGATTTTTTTTAGTGCCACTGCGGTATTTTGCCACCTTTGTTTAAATTTAAAAAAAAAAAAAAAACAACCTAGAAAAATTTTTAAAATTGTGAATTTCTACCTTGCTAAACACCGGCAAGGCCTCCAAATATGTGCTGCATAGGAGCAAATCTCTTCACAGTGACCCAGAGGTGGAGATTTCCTGGGAGCTCGTTTGCTGATCAGTTATTTCTCCCTGTGCTTTTCCCAAATTTTCCTTCCCTTACAGCTTGCCATCCTCCCAAAATCCTCTACAGCAACACCCACCGTGGTAGGAGAGATAATAAGCTGACATATGTCCCCCCATGCTGGGACTGGGAGGATGCTGAAGCTGCCTTTACAAAAAATAATAGCACCAGTACAATTTTATTTGCATTGTGATAACTGTGGTGAAATTTATGGCAGTGTTTGTACTTTATTGTTTCATTCTGCCAGATTAGCTGAGGGAGGTAATTACAGCCCCGACATAGAAATGCCTTTAATGTTTTCATTTCAATTTTGCAGTTTGTGATATGCAGATTCCAGCATTGCCATAATTCCATATTGTTCCATGTGCAATTACAGGGCAGAGCATTTGCTCCCCAGGATAATGGAGCTAATTTTTAATAAATTATTTCACCAAGGATCTTAACTCATTCAGCTCTTGGGTAAATAGTGATGGCAATAACAATGTGCATATTTTTCAAGTGATTCATGCAGATGTACATTACTTAACACCAGGCAGTTCTGTGACAAATGAAATACTATCAATTTTACGCTATAATATTTGTCAGCAGTAATTTTGTGCCTCAGGATTTTCCCAGACAACAGCCACTCTGTAACAATATAAATGCAGCTCTAATGAAACAGCATGTTCATACACACGAAATTTTTTGCACACAGATGCACACACATATAAATATATATACACATCTATAGAAACACATGCAAATAAAAATATATATATATAAACAGATGGTTCCATACACCAAAAAATACTTACATTATCATCTTTTTTGACAGTGTCTAACTTTAATGCTCTCTTAACTCTGCAAGAGAAAAATATGGGCAAGTTTTATGGTCATCTGGACACAAAGATTTCTTCTAGTAACATCTATAATTTGTTATTTTTAAAGACAGTTTCCTGTGTAGTGTTTCACATTCACACAAGAAAACAAATGTCATCCAAAGCAAATCTATTGACTGATTAAAATACCGTGTACTGAGAACATTGTTTGTTTAGAAGGATAAAGTGTTTGCATAAGAAAACCTGATTCTCCATTTTATCCTAGAGATAAAAATCAAGACACTGAAGCAAAATCACACTGAATTTTTGCTTTTCCCCCAAGACATAAACACCAAAAACCCCACAACAGCCTTTTCTTTTACGTACCTTGTGAGCAAAGGGTGGAAAGGATTTTGCCATTAGTGGAAATAACGCATAAAGCCATTTAAAACACAGGTACAGCCAAGGTGAAAAAAGTAGTTTTTCCCATCATTTTAGCTCTTAACATGATTCAGTGCTGCCAGACTAGGACTTAACAGGGGAACAGATGCTCTATGTCTTTACAGGTCCCCAAACCATAAGAAACTATTTGCTTCCCTTCTTCCTTCTCCTGATTCAGGAACATGCCAAGCTCTCTCTGCAAAATCTGCTCTGCTGAACCGGATGCCCAGCTGTTAATGGCAACACTGGAAGGGGAAAGCTGAATATTTATAATACTTTATATGGTACAGCTGTCTGCTAAAGAGCAGTCATCAAAATTTTATTGAATGCAGGCTAAATGCTCCAAGGAAAGAAAGGTCAACATAAATTAAGACTATTTTTCCCACAGACAACGGAAAGTTTTTAAGCACGTTCCTAAATCTTGGTCTAAAGCACGATATAAAACAACAAGGAACAAAAAAAAAAATCTGTTTAAGAACAGTCCCCGAGAAATGTATATATTATATTGAATTAAACAGGACTTGCAATGTACATCATATTTCAAGCACTTGGGTCAGTTTTCATCTTGGAAAAGAATGTTTTGCCTTGTAAGGAATTAAGATACCCTCATTCCAAACATACCCTTTCTAAATTTATGCTGCTGTAAATTAAAGACAATAGAAATGGAAGCACATCTTTGACATGTAACTGAGGTAAGGGTCTTATAGGAAAACTGTTTTACAACCACCTCCATTACAAAAAGGGGAAGAGAATGTTCTGTCTTAAAAAAGCCAAATGAACAGGTGACATTAAAATTAAAAAAGCCTGTGAAATTCTGGCCGAGGGGCAGTGAAAGCTGTAACAGTTTGATGGAATTCTTTACAATGTATTTCTTTTTTAAAGAGAAACCCATATTGAGGGAATGCTGACTCCATTCCACCTCCCAGCCCGTGGCAGCAGGGAAATATCCTATTTATTAATAGACAGGATGCTCTGGGGGCCAGGGCATTTGCATGTTGTACCAAGGCATGCGATGATGGAAGTTTTTATGACTGAAAGCCAAAGTAAAATGCAGGATCTGGGCTCAGCACAGCTGTAGGATGAAGAGAAATGAGAAACTAAACGAAAATCCCATTAAATTATAAACATTGAGAAAAATTTCTCGGGGGAAAAGCTGTGGACTGATCAAAGGTATGTTCTTTGGAGTCTGTCAAATGTTGTGGACAGGAACAGAGCAGCTCAAATTTCTCTCTGCTGGCCTCCCAAACCCCTGCCAACTCCCCAAATTATGGGGGCAAAGACGGAGCCTCATTCTAAACACGACAACATTGGAAAGAGCTGGAATATTACACTGGAAGACACAATTTCAGCTTTAGTCAACCTCTCCTTGTGTTTCCCAATCCATCCTACACAGCAGCCTCATTTGC